TCTAAAATGGTTCTATTTAACCTTTATGCCACTCTATTCTGCTGAGGAGTATGCCTTACAATTCTGTGATGCATTATCCCACTTTCTTGGCATATATTTTTAAACTCCTCATTACAATATTCTAGCCCATTGTCTGTCCTTAAGTATTTGATGGACCTAGAAGTTTGATTTTCTACTAATTTCTTCCATTCTTTAAATTTTTCCACAGTTGATCTTTGGTTTTAAGGGAGAAAATCCATATTTTCCTAGAAAAATCATCAACAAAGGTTAAGAAGTACCTTGAGCCACTGAGAGATGATACTTGAGCGGGACCCAAAAGATCTAAGTGTATGTAGTCAAGGATTGCTTTTGTTACATGATCCTTTTCTGAAAACTCTGCATCTTTGCTTTGCCCATCACACAATGTTCACAAAATTGTAGGCTTTCATTTACCCCTTTTGGTAGAACTCCTTGACTGGCCCATTCCTGTAATCCTTTTGCACTCACATGAGATAGTCATTTATGCCATAGGTCTCCCTCTGACAATTCTTCTCTTGCAGCTTCATAGGCTACCCCTGATGATTCAATATCTTTAACAACATAAAGACCGTTTACCTTTTCAGCAACTAAAACTGTTTTAGAGTCCTTTCGAACCTCAATTGTTCCACCTTGCCCATTGTATGTGCAGCCTATAGAATCAAGCATTCGTAAGGAAATTAAGTTCCTTTTAAGGCTGGGTACATGCCTTACATTATGTAGGAGTTTAACTGAGCCATCCTTCATTCTTAGGGACACATTGCTGATTCCTACAACATTGCAAATATTGTTATTTCCCATGAAAACTGAGCCTCCATCCCACTCTCTGTAGGTCTGGAAACAAGTCTTTAAGGTGTCATATTGTATGAACACCCAGAGTCAAGGACCCATTCTTGATTGTTTTGATTATATTTCAACTTCTCTGTGACAGTAACGACGTTTCAGTTTTGATTTCCATTTGTCATCTGTCTGATACTTAGTATCTTTCTAGTTTCCCTTATTTTTACCTTTTGCATAATGTCCTTAAGCATTTGTGTTATCACATTTCACAGCCTGATGGATACTTTACCATATTTCAATTCTGCTTTCACTTCTTTATATGCCTCAGGAAGTGAGTTTCACTTCTTTATATGCCTCAGGAAGTGAGTTCAAAGGGATGAAAGCTTCGTTGTCATCACCAATCTTTTCCCCTAAGCTTTTGAATTCTGATGATAGTTTCTTGAAGTCGTCAAGATTCTCACTTAGGGTTTTTGAGTTGCCCATCTTGTAAGTGAAATATTTCTCTTTGATGTATACCTTGTTTGGTAATTCTCTAGAGAGAAAAATTTCTTCCAACTTCGTCCATATCTTGTATGCAGTTTCAACCTCCATTACTTGCCTTAGAACGTTATCACTGAGGTTGAGGATGATTGTCCCGTATGCAATTTCTTCCATTGTTTCCCTTTCTTATGCAGTCATTGTCTCCAATAACTTTGCTTGATCTAGAATGGCCTTGGATGCTTTATGTTGTCCCAGAAGTGCTTTAATTTTGACCTTCCATAACTCAAAATCACCTTTACCATCGAACTTGTCAATATCGATTCTTGCGACTGCCATTGATTCTTGATTTCGGTTTAAGAGCTGCTATTCTTTCAACCAACGCTCTGATACCAATTTTGTTAGGGATCGAAGAACTCATGCACCTCTCTTTACTGAAACAACCAAACACGAAGAGGAAGATAAAGAAGAAGAAGAACACAAGAGAATTAAGTGGTTCGGTCAAGATGACCTACATCCACTGTAAGGGCAGTTTCTCTCTTCACTTATTTTGTAAGGTACAAGATTTTACATTATACAATCTCTCTCTCACCTTTGAGAAGGCTTTTTATAGGTTGTGTACCAACCCTAACAACCTTAACCGAAAAAGTGTAGAAGATTTGGCTTTTAGTAGGATTTCTCGAATCACATAATTTAAAATATTTCTTGAACTTTCTTGACACCAAATACAGGGTAAGTTTGGAGTGGTTTAGAGCAAACAAATGAGTTTGTTTTTAGTTTATTTTTTTGTAATATAATATATTTTGAATTTAAATTTTAGTTTGTAGTTGGACAAATGAATATTGTTTTATCTTTAATGTAGAATATTATTTTTGAATTATGATTTTGCTAGAAAGGAAAGGTTGGTATTGAAACTTCTTGATTATGTCAACCCCTAACATGCATATTAAAAACCTACGGGCCAATTTGTTGTCATCAAAAAATGGTCTAGGAAATCAAAGATTCCAAACAAATTCCATCACTACTCTAATAAAAAAAAATCAATTAAAATTACTGTTTTAATAATCAAAACAATGCATCCAGTAGCTTACAAATAGGAAAAATGTTATGGATTTTGGTCTCACATTGAAATTGGAAACTTTCTTACCTCTAAAAACTAAAATAGAAAACATTAAACTCAAAAGTAAGAAAATAGGAAAAAAAATGTTAAAAAGTTTTAGAGAAAATGTAATTAATAATACCAGTAGCCTCAAACAATTATTTAAAAATAAAACCAACCATTATGTGCTAACTTGATTAGTTAAGAAATTACTTGTTTCTCTAAAATTCGAAAGTTGGAATGTCTCCCTTCTTGAACTTAAAAATGAAAAAAAATAAAGAAATAAACAAAAAACAAAAACAAAATGGTGTAATTTAATGAAAAGCAATCTGGGATATTTTCAATTTGATTTTCGAATGGGAAGAAGGCTAACTTTTCAGGTGAGCCTCATAGAACCTACATTTGAGAAAAACAGCAGTCCCGGCGGGTTGCTCTAACTCAGAGGGCCCTGGCGAAGTGTTTGTTCCCGAATGACGAAAGTGGAAAGACACTAAGGGAGCAGCAGTGGATGTTAGGGGTTGTCTCGAATTCCCATTGACGTTTTTTCTTACTCCATATTCCATTGTAACGACCATCTGGTTCACTGATGGATTCAATTGGTTTCATCGGTCATTCTGCAAACGTGACAGATCCTTCTCAAACACCCAACTCCTAATATCAATATCTCAGGGCTAGGGATGCGATACGAGGAATGGGGAAGCACCCGCGCGAGCGGTAGTGGACGAAGCGGAAGCGAGAATGACTTCATCAGATGATTGCATTGAACAAGTGGTTAGTAGATTATAGAAAAGAAAGAATTCACCTTAGAGATAGGAGCGACTTTCTTGTGGTAGTCATTTCGAATGAGCAAGTAGTGAACCGCTTTTTCTTCTTCCACGAAGATCTCCTATTCGTTCTGGATCTAGCTGAAAAAGAGCCCACATCCATAGCATGAGTAGGTAAAACAAGTGAATGATTTGAAATTCTGAGTTATTTCACTCAACTCAATCGAGAAGCAACCTCTTCAACATCTATAAAAAAACCCACTATGATGATTCGAACTCATAACTTTTTAATAGAAAATATATATTTTAACGAGTTGATCTAATTAAGTAGCTCATATTCACCCTTTAAATCTCCATTGAAAAAAAATCAATTGATGTCCACGTATGTTAACATATTTAATTTTGTTATTAAAATATTTTATATCCTTCGCATGAAAATATAAAACACTAAATTTTTTTTTTTAAAGAAAATTGTTTGAATTTGAATTCATTATTTTCTTTTGAAAAAATAATAAAATTTTGAAAATAATAGAGAATATTTAGTTGATACCTGAGTCATAAACTTAACTCGTCAACTAGTTAAGATACTCGTCTCGGTCCAAAAGATCATGAAAAATACTGAAAAGGTAGAAAGAAAACTAGAAATGGCTTTATTAAGTTGAAAAAAAATTAATAATGAAATACACAATATGAGATTTATATATGTTAAACCCTAAATAAATAAATAAAGACTAATCTACCCTCAAAGACTCATAATAATAAGGATAATAATAATTCATGTTAACATCATCGAAAAAGTCACGATGTTATAGCTATAAGCATGAAGAGTTTGTTAGAAAAAAACGAAAGCGTGAAGCGAAGTATGCCTTGATAAACAATATCATAGGGTAGAATGACGAAGATAAATGTCTAAACTACAAGTAGCCAACGTAACCAGATAATTTCACAAGTAGTTGAGGTCATGCCACGATACTAAAAATACATAATCCAATGGTCGAATTGCGATTTGTAACGTCTCATGCCCAAATTTCGGACAAGGATTCGGAATCCAGATCTGGCACCTAATTGCCCTAGCATTCCCCTGCATCCTGCAACACCCAACCTAAGATTGCTCCAAGTCAAGTTTGCTTAACTTAGATCTTATGATTGAGTTACCGGAAAAAAGGTACACCATTAGTATAGATAGTGCCTATTAATTTTTTAAGTCCTTAATCATGCTTCCATGCTTCCATGATTTCAAGATCTTCTCATTTAGATGTGATATCGGTTCATCCATATACCCATTCTCCCTACTCGGACGTCACATGCCTACCATCTTTTGCTTTGTTCGAACTACATTGTATTGTTTGAGAGGTTCCGCTCTACCATTTGCAATGCCTCAAGCCCAATATTCAAAATGATCGCCAACCTAATTAACAACGAAGTAAGTATGCAAATCTAAAAAAGACGTGGAAGAAAACTAGAGACTCTAAAACTGAGTGTCTCGAAGATATCTGAGAATATGAAGAACAACACTACAATGAATTGTAACGAGAGTGGTGACGGACTGATTAAACCACATGAACAAAGAGCGACGTGTCTAAACAAACTAAGTCAAATAAAATACATCAAACTCTCACCAATAGTATGATATAAACTAAAATCCATCAAAGAAACATTATCTGATGGAGAATACAGGATGTTGGACTCGAGAGAAGTATGAACAATTCTGTTGTCAATACATTTAAGTGGTAAGTAATAATTTGATCCAAAGATAAAAGCTTTGGATTTTTAACTAAGATTTAAAAACAAAAAAATTTGTTGGGCAACGGATTTAAAAAAGAAAAACAAAGAAGAATTTGTTGGGCAACGAAACCGGGGAAGCGGCGATGGGTAAGAAAAAAGTTGGAATCTTTGGATAAAGCAAGAGACTGCTTACGGGGGTCCCAAATCCACGGAGTTTTCTGTTTTATCATCCGCCCACTGTTTTCGTTTTCCTTCATTTTCATCCTTCTCATCTTACCCACCATTTTCTCTCTTAATCCGTTTCCATGAATCCTCCTAACTTCGCCTTCCTTCCAACCTTCCCCCCTTTTCTCCCAGAATTTATGCCTTTCGATCTATAAATCAAGCCCTCTTTTCCCCGTTTTCCCTGCTACCTTTCTTCTTTTACTGATTTCACTAGCTGCCTTCTAAATCCATTTTTCGATTCTTACCCGAAGATTAGTCGTTCAGATCTAATCGAGGGGAGGGTTTCGCTATTCTTCTTTGAATTTTTTAGAGGAATCTTGCACGAATTAGTTATGCTTGCTGGGAATAATTGGTTGCTGATTGATTGGTGAATTCGAACTTTATAGCTTGTGGGATTGTTTGTGGGGTGTGAATTATTGGGGTTTTCTAACAATGGTCACGGTTAATCTCGGAGTGCTTCATTATGTGTTGGACCATGTGTATGGTGCATTCGTGCACAGAACCAAGATCAGCCCGCCGTTTTTTTCGAGGGGATGGGGTGGTTCGAAGCTTGATTTGCTTGAGAAGATGATCAAACAGTTGTTCCCAGAAATGGCAGGGCAGAACTGGCCTCCCAGTTTGATTAGACCCATTTGGAGAACGGTTTGGGAGAATGAGACTGCCCGTTTGAGAGAGGGGGTTTTCAGAACCCCTTGTGATGAGCAGCTTCTTGCTGCATTGCCCCCAGAGAGTCATAATGCAAGGGTTGCGTTTCTGATGCCCAAATCAGTACCAACCCACAAGATGGCTTGTGTGGTTCATCTGGCAGGTATCTCGTCATATACTGTCCTACAGAACATCAATCTTATTTTTAGTCAATAATTTTAGGTGGGGAAGTAGGTCCAGGGGGGTACTTTTTGTCTGGAAAACTTGAGAATTTGATATCATTCTCTTTGAATGAGATATCATTTATAGACACAGTTTCGTTAGATATCGTATATGTTGAATCCCTCCCTTTCTGATTGAGTGCTTGTGTTTGATGTTCATGGAACATCAATCTCACTAACTAACTGATGAGGTTCTCAATTGTAAAGGTCAGATGATAACTCTGCACTGGTATTTTGCAGGGACTGGGGACCATGCATTTGAAAGGAGACTACGTCTTGGTGGGCCATTGTTGAAGGATAATATTGCAACCATGGTGCTTGAGAGGTATAACTTGTCCTGCTCTGTCAAGTGCAACTGGAGTGTCTCTAAGGGTGTTATGTAAAACTTTAAGTCATTAATTTTATGTTAACTATTTGAATACAGTCCTTTCTATGGTCAGAGACGACCCATGCTACAATACGGTGCAAAACTTTTGTGTGTTAGTGACTTGCTTTTGTTGGGAAGAGCGACGATTGAAGAGGCTCGCAGTCTTTTACATTGGTTAGACTCTGAGGCAGGATTTGGAAAGATGGGTGTTTGTGGGCTTAGCATGGGTATGCCTCAAGCTAGATGCCTTGTGATTATGATTATGAAGTTACTGGTTCTGTGCTTTAGTGGTTTAACTCTTTCTGAACATTTAAGTGAACTTAAATCTAATTTGCAAAGTTAAACTGTTTGCATCATTAATAGTTTGGAAGTCAAAAGGTACCTTCAGTCCTTATATTATCGTTGAAGCAAATATTTAGTCTTTAAGCTTCGGTTGTTTAAAACTTCTATTACACCTTCATTACAAATTTAATCTACTAAAGTTTAGGGACTTAATTGTTATCTCGATAAAAAATACAGTATTTTAGCTTAGTTTAAATTTAACTTAACACGG